AGGATCTGCCACTCAAATCTGTGGACCGGAACCTTATTGTGAATTAAGTTGGTCTACAACTAGGTCTCTAATGGAGAAATGGATCTCAGCCAAGAGAAGTCGCTATTGGTGCGACAGTCGAGGCAAACGTCAGGCTAAACAGCTGGTTCACCCCTACAGTTATGGTAAGGTATCCCTCTTCAGCAGAACAGAGTTGAGATTGCTGATGGGATATCTAACGGGTCACCATTGACTGCGTTATCAACTTAATAAAATAGGTCTGTCCGGAGGGTTGGAGTCGACTTTGCTTAGAAACAGACGAGACTTCGAGTCATATTCTCTGTGACTATCCAGCCTTGATCTAGGCCAGGAGGTGGTCACTAGGAGGAAACTGCTCTCCCCTTCTGACACTAAGAGGTCCTCAGCGAACGACATTCTGGCCTTCATTCGGAAAGCGGAATGTCTTCTGTTCGGTTAGGGTCTGTTGCAGCACAAAAGATTAATCTGTTTGCAGTGCTCTGCTTCGTTAGGAACTAGTACCCCATTTATTCCTATTCCTGAAGAATTTATTCAAATGTAATCAAAAGTAAAACATTTTCATATATGTATGGGCTCGTGTATTTTTATAATGGACTCGAATTTATGTAACATATGCATATATATTGTGTATACAAACATATTTTATTGTACAACTTTTTAAGAATTTTAAGTGTCAATAAAAACTGACTTGAATTTTTTAATAAAGTTTTTCCAAAATTGATTTCTAAGTGATTTATTATCCCGATCTCCACTTGGCTCCGTCTTTTACTTAGCAGCTGTTAAAATTCATACGTATGAATGAATGTATAGATGAGATACCTTCTTCGGGTGTGAATATTGTTTGCACTGAATTTCAATTTAATTCAATTCAATACTTTTGTAAACAAAACACGCAAAGGAAACCGACAAAATCGACACTTAAAAAGTTAGTCAATTTCAATATTCGTCATCACTGCTAACTCAACTCGCATAGACAATGTGTGATGGTGTATTAAAATTTATGATTGATTACATTTCGACAAGACAAGTCGGAATTCGGTATTCGGAATTTTATAAACTTTACTTTTTAACTTTTGGCAACTTTTGCCAAAAATTCCTTCAACAACTTTCCCAAAACAACACAACAAAACAAACAACAAAACAAACAAAATAAACGGAAGAGAATAAAAAGTAAAGTATTTCGCATATTTATTTCCGTCTGAAAAGTTTTGGCCCTCGTTTGAATATTTTATGAAGGCGTAGGTGGTAGGTATGCTCCACACACACCTCACACGTCAATCCCTGCACCAGAGTGCTATCACAACACAAATATCTAAGCACGAAGGATATGAAAATTCCATTTTAGACGTTGTCAAGATAAAGTCACTTTTTGGTTATTGGTTAAGAAACTGAGGAGTGCTTATTTACATTTTTGCCTTAAAACGCTTCATTTACGAGTGCGCCTCCGTACGCGTTACTCATACGCCACGTTGTCATTTTCAATATGTTCGCCAGCTAGCATTCTGTATCCTTGCCAAAAATGGAAAAAAAAAATAAATATTGTAAAAAGTTTCTAAATGTACAATAAAAGAATGATTTGAAAGAAAAAAAAACTCAACGCTACTTTTATTGGGCTTGGATTTCCTACAAGGTAAGAGATTCGCTATGGAAGGCACAGTGGTGGATGAAAAAAGAGTCCTTTTTTATTTGTTACGAAATTCCAACTTTTTGCACGTTGTTATCGTTATCAGTTGTGCTGCAATTCAGTGTATTTCAAAGATTTGTTTGATTTCCTACGCTTTTCAGTATTATCTCGCAGTTTATTTTCGCTTTTTTTACACGAAATACCTTTGCGTGTTTACTTACCTCTGTAAGTCGGTTGAAGTTTCCAACTCAATAGAGGCATTTAAATACTTTTTCTATTTCTTATGTGACTAAATATTTACCTGATGTCTGTCTATTTGCACAACACACACACAAAAAAAAACAAGAAACCTCAATGTTTGTTGAGTATTTTTCACTTAAACGATGACAGCTTCTCCATGCCATCCACGTAATGGAGCCATTTGAGATTATGAGAACTTCGTCATAATTATTACAAAAATTTGTTAACAAATATAAATAAAAGTTTTTACATAAATGTAAAGGTAAAGATTTTTATAAAAAAGTAAAAATTCTTTTTATAAATCCAAAAAATTCATTTTAAATTCAGTTATGTTGTATTTTCCAGTAATCAGAATATTCCTGTTTATCATAAGGTACACTCAGAAAAATTTTGCTCTAACCACATACTAGTTAAATTGACCTAATAATTTTGTTAGAGAAATTTGAGCTCATGTGGTAAAAAAGATATGAAAACCAATATGATGCATCGATTAAGAAAATTTTAACCTGAGGTTTATGCTATATTCAGACAGCCAAATTTTCTTAATTTCGTAAAAATGAAATTAAGTTAATTTCGAAAGTGTTCATACTGCCCCAAATTAAGGAAATCATATGTTTTTTGTTTACAAATTGACTGTTAAACATTACATGCTCCAGACACCATTTATATCTGGGAACAATTAAAAGTTAATTATTATAAGGATGACATTCTGTCATCCTAATAATTTTGTTAGAGAATAAAGAAGATATAAAGACCTACATGTGATGTGGTTCAACCAACATGATGCATCGATTAAGAATATTTTAACCTGTGGTTTATACTATATTCAGACAACCAAATTTTCTTAATTTCGTAAAAATTAAATTAAGTTAATTTCGAAAGTGTTCATACTGCCCCAAATTAAGGAATTCATATGTTTTTTTGTTTACAAATTGACTGTTTGGAACATTATATGCTCCAAACACCATTTATATCTGGGAAATATTAAAAGTTAATTATTATAAGGATGACATTCTGTAGTTTTATTAGCTTTATTTCATTTCTGGTATGTAAATTATTATTCTTCACTTTTAAATTAAAACCAGTTACAGTTTTTTCTTCATATACAAATTTAAAAATTTGCACTACTTTCAAAATATTTTCCCGGTTTTATTAAACTCAACTGTCACTGACATTTATTTTTAAAAAAATTTTCCTTTTTCGTTGAGAAACTTTATCTTTTGCTAGAAATTTATCTTACGCATAGATGCATTTGAAATGTCACTTAATTTCAGCCTTCGTTTCAACGAAGTTAAGACCATTTTTCTTAATTTTGTTCTAACTTTAAAACTGAATTATGTTTGAAAAAAAACAACTTAATTTCGCCGAAAGGAAGATGAAATTAAGATTTTTACAAAGTTAAAATATGTCTAAACATAGTATTAGTTAAAATCTGGTTAAATCAACCCTACTATTTTTCTGAGTGTACTAAGCAGAATAACGTTAGCGCTAAGAACAGAAAGTTGATCTACAGCCAGATAATTAGACCAGTACTACTTTATGGGTGTGTCGGGTATAGAAAAGATGTCAACTCTACTATCCAGAAACTACAAGTTGTCCAAAGTCAAGCACTCCGAAGACTCTTTAAAGCGCCATGATACATCCGCAAGAATGACATGCTAAGAGACCTCAAAATAGACCCGGTCAAAAAATTCATAAGGGACAGCGCCTTGAAGCTATATGCGAAAACTGACAAGCTGCCCTACATAGCACTATCCAATCTCAGAGTAATCACTAGCCGTACGGGGCGGTATGCAGATCATAGATCAGTCAGCGTATAATCGCGAAGCTTGTGAAGAATACATAAATTAGTTAAAGAGAAAGGAGGGACTTTGTAAAATCCCCCCAGCTAAATAAGAGAAAAGTGCCCAGTTACACTAACTCGGAAAAACCTCTACATAAAACTAATTATAACAATTAATTTTCTTTCACAAACGTATTAAAGAGTAATGAAAAAGAAATAATGCCTTTATAGAAATTAGGTAAATACTACATCTTAGTACCTTAGAAATTATTATAACATCCCAGTAATTCCTTTTGTTTTAATGCTTCTTCATTTTTATGAAAGAAAAGAGATATGTCCTGATCCACAAAAAGGTTCGGGTTCCACCATTGGTGTAACTGCTTCTTTCCTGGTTAGTTTGTCTGCGTATTCGTTTCCGCGTGAGCTAGTATGTCCCAGTACCCAGAGAATCATCACCTTATTTAATTTGCCGAGTAAGTTTAGCTTTTCAAGGCATTCTTGCACCAGTCAAATTCAATATTCGGTTATTTCAAACTATATATTTATATGTCATATATTCACTAAGAATTTATTATTTATTTTAAAAATCTATTTTAAACCATCGCCGATCAGTTTTGCAGAGTATGTTTTTAGTTCGAAATGCAACCGAAATGGTGACTACCTTGGATGTCAGTCAGAGATATGAGTATTTTATAAGTCCGGAATATTTATTCATTTTAATCTCATTCATATTAAAGTACGCGCATGTAATATTTAGACTTTAGAATATAATTTTCTAATCATATAAAACTGCAATTAGACTGTAAATGAATTATGATAAATAAATGGAATTCTAGAGTGTAAGCCCAATGTTATACAAAGATTTCGAAATTAACTTTAACTCTATATATCTATATAATATCTATATCTATATAATTTGCTTGTTATTTAAAATTTTTTAATCTAATTTTAATTTTAATTCAAGTGATAATAACACGTTCTCTCAATAACATATTATATTAAGCAACAGTCGCGCTTTCAATCTAAGCACAGATTAGTTGAGCATTAACCGGAGAGAAGTAAGGTTATAGGTAAATTATTAGTTAGAAATGAGTTTAAGAAATAGAAAAAAATCAGTCTTTATTGCTGATTATTATATTTGATACATACATAAAATGTTTTAAGAATTTAGTATTAAAAGCTGAAATAGATAGCAAAAAAAAATAAATAGCAACTGCTTTAGAATAAACTTATATACCAAATTCTTTGATCCTGAGTAATTCAGAAAAAACTGATTAAAACTAATCCATTTAGTCAAATTTTTGTTTACAAAAATATCTTTATTGTCATGACTTTCAGTTCGGAATCGGTTGTGCCTAAGGTCAATGTAAATTTTTTGTCTGCAAATCTACTTCAATTTTTAGGTTAATCTTATCAATAAAACTAATTAAATTTTTAGTTAAGAAATCATATTTTTAAACAAACATTTCTTAAATATATTTCAACAACAACGTCACTACTACAGCTGATAAAATAGTAGCTTTAGCCAATATATTGCTGACTCCATCATTCCGTTGCATGTGCTGTCGGACACTAATCACCTTATCAATTTCAACCTGACACTTTGTTTCGTTCTTGACATATCTGAACATAGATTCAACAACATTGGCAGGTGTAATTTCGTTACATTTCTCCAAATAACCAATTACACATTCCTCAAAATCATAAAAGTTAATACATTGTTTGGGATCCAAAACCAAATCGGGCAGTTCCTTTAAAGGCTCTATCGGTAAACCATTTTTAGGCATATATGCTGAGAAAGTAGCATTCATACAGTTTAGTATATTGTCTTTATTTGCCTCAACGCACTCGGGCCCTTCCTCAGCAATGAACATGGCAATCTGGTCTCCATTTTTGTAACAAATAAAGTTCAGTAGTGACGTCACTATACGCATCATCACAGCATTTTGTGAACGTTCTTCCGAGTTCAGGCAAGGCAGCAATTGTGAGTTGAATTCACGTAGACATTGTTCAGCACGTGGCTGTCTATTGCAATATTTTTGAAAGACAACATCCAGCTCACCCGCAGGACGTGCCGCCTCAACTTCTTGCAGTATCTCGGTTAGATTTGCTACGCTGTTGACACATTGCACCAGCTTCGTGGCTGCAAGTTCGAGTTGCTCATAGATTTCCGCTTTATTTACACCAGCCTTTTTACACTTTAAACGCAGCAAACGTTTGGCGTCCTCGAAAGTGAAATTGGTCTTTGCATATTCCTTGGGTAGGAATTGAGATTTTAGCTTCTCGAAATCGTCCGCTTCACTGGTCTGGGCGACTCCTACTTGCGTGTAAATGTAGATTAGCGCCAAAAGTACGCACAGCGTGTATTTGAGTTTCTGCATTTTTTGATTTTTATTTTAAATAAATTTTGGTGTTTAGAGTAAAAATATTTTTTTAGTAACTTAAAGTCACCTGTGTGTGACACTCAACACGAGAAAGTAAACTATTTTGATTAAGACATTTATAGTGTGGTACGACTTTCAAGTTTATCTTATCTATTTTGGGTTACAATATTGATTAAGAAAACTAATCTGAATTTATTCTTTAATCTTATTTATTACTAAAACCTAATCGCTAAATAATTACAACAACAATAAATTATCAGCTTATATTTTTAAATAATAATATGATTTGAGTTAATGAACTTATCGGACTTTAAATTTTCCCACACCACTTTTTTTTATCTGCCATAGATATTGGCACTAAACAAAAAAGATACTGACACGCATGATTAATCAAACTATGAGTCTTTCATTTAAAGATAAATAATATGTAAACTAAGAATAATAATATAAGTTTACTCATTTTTGGTTCCAACTTGGCAGTATTATTTCAGTGACATATATCAAATAATTTATATATATTAGTTTATCCAATAGCGGATAAATTCGGAGTCTTCATCGATTCTTTCATTTTTGAAAACTTTATTTGTATTTTTTGTAACAACTAATTTTATTAATTAATGTTCATTTTTTCTTGCCGAATGTGACGCGTCATAAGACGGAAAAAAAACTATCTATAAATTAGAAGGACTCGAATAGAAACAAAAGAACAACAACAAAAATTTTAGTTAATTTACACGAACTTATCGGACTTTAAACAACGCTGTTTCGAGTATTGTGAAGTACTCATCATCAGTGATCTAAGAAAATATTCGAATTTTTTTGATAAGTTTATATTCCGTTTCGCAAGTGCTAGGCTTAGAACTCATGCCTGTCAAATTAGAAGTCTATATTAGAAGAATATAGAGCAATTCTATATTAGAATTAGTTTGGCCTGCAAGTGCCAGGCTTAAAACTCATGCCTGTCAAATTAGAAGTCTATATTAGAATATAATTCCATATTAATTAATATTAATTAGTACTAAGCATCTATATAAATAGTTGTATAAAATTAAATAAATGTAATAATCAACGAATCCATTGCAACTCTAACGCTTTATTTTGTCCGGCGGGGAGTATGGGAATACCTACGCACTGACCACAATCCAGCGGCCCGGAAAGTGAGTGCCTGAACGCACGGGCTAAAACCCTCCCCTTCACTCCCATAGACCTTATCCTGCCCTAAGACTACGATAGTATTGCATTAAGATAGGTTCGCTAATAGTCATTTAAGAGTATCAACGGTATGACCTACATCCAGGCCCCTTTGCTACTTCAGGTGACTAGCTTTGCTTTTCATAATAGCATAATACATCTACTTGCTCAGACTGCCTTCTTTTGATAGCTACTTTGTTCAAGTCAGGATCTTTTCAGCAAACATTGCTATACGATCTCAGTTTGTTTTGTTTTCCATTCTTTTTTCTGTCACCGTCCTGTGGGTAGAAGCCACCAACTTGCAATTCATTGCTGAATGTGTGCTCTGTAGTATCATCCTCATCTATGCATTATATGAAATGCAGTGACTCTACTTTGCACATGCGGTAGAGATAGCTTTTGAAATATACCTACGTGACCAAATAGAATTCTTTCTTCAACATTCTTAAAAACTTGAAAATACTGGTAATGTTTAAAATAAAAGGAAGTCCGTCATTATAAGTATTGGATATTTGGAGAAATAATTCACTGTCTAACTATTAAATTCATATTCGTTAAATTCATATTTATTTAACATATTTAACAGTGGTACACTAAGTGCTTTCTTACTACGGTACACTGAATTGGAAGCTAAAACTAAAAGACATTATTAGTCTTGTCAATGGACCAAAATTTGTTTCATTTTACTTAGGAGATTCTCTCCAGAAACACCACAAGAAACCTTATATATCTAATAACCCCTTTTAAAAATAATAAAATGATTAAAATTCATACAAGAAGTGGAAATCTATGTAGAAATCTTCTCAAGGTCTTAAATTAGTCGCAGGATCTACTTTATCATTATAAAAATGATAATAAATTCTGTAGTACTCTTTCATATTTCTTATATCAAACACATTGCAAGTACTAACAAAATAAAAATACAGATTGATTTAGTTTTTCGTAATACTTTAAAATTTCTAATAGAACATTTTAATACATTTGATGGACCTAATCTCTTAAAAAAACTTGTAATGAAAGTGTTTAACCCCATCACAGTCATCGTTACCATAAAATAAAATGTTTTTTTTGTGTTTACTCACCTTCCAAGTGGCAACCTCTAAAATTTTCTGTTTGCATTTTACACGCTGCAGCTTTTTCCTGGTCTCTGTGGGCTCTTCATATGCGCTAAATGACGCTGATGCACAATGTAAACGTAATAAACGCTTAAGAAATTATTAAAGTCAACTGTCAACTCAAACGCGATTTTAAAATGCATTAAGAGCAGTTGTTTTTGTAGCCGTGGCCATTCATTCGCGCTGATGATGATGTTTTGTTATTGTTGGTTGCTAGTAGTTGCCAGTTGCTAGTTACCAGTTGCTGGTTGCTGGTTGCTTGTTGCTAGCTGCAATGTTGCAGTGGTTCTAGTGTGGTAATTGAATTTACACAGTATTTTGCATAATTAAGGAAGTAAAAATGAGAAAGATAAAAATAATAGAGAATAGGAAAATGAAAAATTGAAAAATTGAATAAAAGGTTTTGAGTAACTCTAAATGGGTTAATAGTGGGGAAATGCCATTTAGTTAAGCTAAACAAGCATTAAGAGAGAAAGGAATTGACGTTCATGTTTGCTTTATAAGAAAATATCAAAAGAAAATACAGCGAGAGGAGGTGTAATTAAATCACATTAAGCAACTTGGATATTTTCATGAAAAACATTTGCGTGCCACGTTAATGCATAGTTTTTGCTTAAGAGTTTTCCCTAAAGTAAAATTAGTTAAAGGAACACAAAAGCTAATATAATTTCTGCTTGTACTTTGATTTTTCAGACCAGCTGTAAAGATATTATAAAATTTTATTAAATATAATTAACTTTCACGGAAAAATCAAATCTAGAATCAAAATAAAAATATTACTGAAAAAGCTATTGGGAGACACAAACTGAGGTTTCTCTATATCGTTTCATTATTCAAGTTTCAATCAAACATTACCTTTAGCAATCACATCTACTATTTTGTGTTTTTCAATACCTTTACCTTAGTATCCCAGCCCAGTATCCAATAGATATGCAATCATCTACTTGCGGTTAACCTCTTATAACTTTCCTTCTCATTAGAACATTTTTGGAAGAAATTTGATATGAGGTAATTGGCTTTATCAATTTTTGACTATCTACATATATGCTTATATTGAAGATAAATCCCATAGAACTAGATTAATAATGGGATTAACTTACACAATAGAGATAAATTTCACAAAATTAAAATAAAAAGATACAGTGGCAGCAAATGCTCCAGAATTGTCCAAAAAATATTACAGAAATGTATTTATTACCACAAACTGTTCAATGCTGCTAATCTAGTGAGTTCCAGTTCTTTATATAGCGGTTGAACTGTTTATCTAAGAGTTGTGTTTCGTTTCCATGGAAACTAATAGAGACCGTGGAGACCTCATAATTCGTTCACTAGTTCTAGTAGTAGTTCTATATAGGACCTCTATTAGTCCTATATAGGAGTTGAGTTAAAGAAGTTCTATGTGGGAGTTGAGTTCAAGTATTCTTATATAGGAGTTTTAGTATATAGGAATTGAGTTGAAATACCTCTATTAATCATATATAGGAGTTGAGTTCAAGGAGCTCTATATATAAGTTGAGTTGAAGTAGTCGTATATAGGAGTTTTAGTATATATAATAGGAATTGAGTACGAGTCATATAGGAATTAAGTTCCTGTTGTCCTATATAGGAGTTGAGTACAACTAATCCTATATAAAAGTTGAGTTCTAGTAGTAATAGTAGTAATATTACTGCTCTATATGGGAATAGAACTGATGTTGCAAAGGACTACAACAGTTTATCTCAGAGTTGTTTTCCCATTCTCTTGTTTATACTCCCGTCAATATATTTTAGCCTTATTGGTATATATTATAGATCTAATAACCAATCTGAGTGCCTTTACTCCACCTATTTTTTTCAATTGTGTTCCAAAACTATTTTCAGAATTGAAACGCGGAACTAATTGATCCATATAATTTACACTCCTTTTGTTTATCGAGCTTTGTTCAACGATTCTGTGTGTGACCGGTAGCTAATAGTCTTGGCGTAGATTTTCCAGCAAGGCCTTCAATGTGCAAGTTAGATCAATGGGAGAGTAGGGTAGTTTTCTATACTCTCATTATGCATTTTTAATTTGAAAAATTTGAAAAATATTGCAATTAAAACGTAACTTTAATTTAAAAAACTCTCATTTAAACTAAAAATTGCACTTAATTAACTTAATAAACTCACATTTAATTAAAAAATCGCACCTATTCACCTATTTCGAATACAAATTCTCTACAAAGTGTTCCATTGCTTCATTCCAAATACCAACACAAGTCTATATATTAAAATAAACTTATTTTTTTTTTCATATTTTAACAAAAACACTTCCTGAGTCCATTTGAGTCCTAATGCAACTCAAACATTACGAAACAAACCAGAGAAATTCCATATAATAGCTGATTCCTACACTAATTAAACAAAACTAAAGAAACGTTTTTATTAAATTGTGAATTGAAGTGTAGAGCGCAATAGAGTTGAGTGGAGTGAAGTAGAGAGCACGGGGGGAATCAAACAAAATGGCATAATGAAGGAATAAATGTTGCACGGATATTAGTTGAAATATGCAAAATAACCGAAACCGCACAGGTTCACATTGGAATAAAAGCAGCAATTTTCTTTGTTCACAACTTGTAATTAAATATTCAATTCGGAACATGCACACACATGCAAACACATGCCAAGACATGCAAACACATGCACAGACAAGAGAGAATGTGTGGAGAAATGCACATTTCTGGGAAATACACTTTTCAACCTACAAAAACAGAAGCTTCATTATGTTTGGAATTGCGAAGAAATTGCTGAAATACTTAAACAGTTTGGTAGTGGTTCTGGCACGGCATGCCACTGAGCCAGTGAGGCAATGAGGCAGTGAGCCAGTCGACTCGGCGCTGCTCGACTCCCACTTTATGTGCCCGACGAGACCGCAATACAATAATTTTCGGTATGCGGCACTTGTTGAGGTTTCGGAACATACGAGATTTTGCATGTTGCCATTCGAATGGGTCCACAGTGGAGTTGTGGAAGTGCAACCAAATGTAGATATTTCGTACGATTTCTCAACAATTTCAAATATTTAATTTTAAATATGAAATAAGCAATTTTTTTATTATTCGTATTCGTTTTTGTATCTTCCTTTTGCTTCGTACGAAATCCACTGCTTTTAATATGCAAATAAATTGCATTTTGCCAAAAATTTTCTGCTCCTTAAGTTTCGTGCCCTGGAATTAATTTGGAATGGAATTAACACAGAAACATATAAACTTAAGTTTGTAGAGTTTATTCTGTATTTCAAGTGATCTAAAATGTACAATTAATTATGCTTCATGCTTTATCTTTGACAAATGACAACTATATTTTATATATAACCTTTATATTTAAATTTATTTTTAGTTTACATTCTCACTAATCAATTTCTTCATAATAAAAAGATATGCTTATAAATATAATAATAAAAGTAAAATAATGTAAATAAAAAAATTTAAAAAGAGTAAATAAAATAAAATAAAATAACGTAAAATATATTTAAAAAAAAAAGATGAATTAAAATAAAATATAAGTTGAATGATATAAGTGAAATGAAATAAAACAAATAAATTAAAAACAAAAAATAAAATAAAGTAAAGTAAAATAAAATAAAATGAAATTACATAAAATAAAATAAAATAAATTAAATAAAATAATATAAAATAAATGTTAAAAAATGATGAATTAAAATAAAATATAAGTTAAATGATATAAGTGGAATAAAATAAAACAAATAAATTAAATACAAAAAATAAAATGAAGTAAAGTAAAATAAAATAAATTAAATAAAATAACATAAAATAAATATAAAAAAAATGATGAATTAAAATAAAATATAAATTAAATGATATAAGTGTAATAAAATAAAACAAATAATTAAATAAAAAAATAAAATAAAGTAATAAATAAAATAACATAAAAATAAATATAAAAAATAAGATGAATTAAAATAAAATATAAATTAAATGATATAAGTGAAATAAAATAAAACAAATAAATTAAATACAAAAAATAAAATAAAGTAAAGTAAACCAAAATAAAATAAAATAAAACAAATAAATTATAAAATAAAATAATAGTAAAATAATTAATAATAAAATAAAATAATATATATCAGGATAAAATAACTAAAATAATGTTAAATAAAAAAAAAAGATTATAATAAAAAAAAACTTTATTCGTTTATTTATGACCAAAATATTATAATAATTTACTAACGGGCTAATTGGTCAATTTAAATAGAAATTAAAAAGCTATAATGTATTATTTATACTTAAAAACAATTCATATTTTATTTAAATATTTTTCCAATGTTTCGACTATCTTCAAAATTGTAGTTTTTTTTATTAATAAATTATTAAAACAAAAAAAATAATAATATAAATAAAAGCCAAGCAAAATAAAAAATAATAAAATAAAGGAAAATAAATAATAGACAAATTTAATAAAGTCAAAAAAAATAAAATAAAGTAAAAAATATAATAAAATAAAAACTAACTGTTGAAAACTATCTGTTAGCACCCAGATACATCACTCAATTGAACAGTCTCCCTCGTGATAGTCTGTATACAGCTATCACTCCCTCCTCCGAGTTTTTTATTACAGCTTTTCCTAGTACCAGGGTTTCTATTTAATTTAAATATGTAGAAAGACTTTTTTTTATTATAACGTCTTATTTTTCAGTAACGTCTTATAACGTCTTATGTTCAACTAATTACTTTCGTATGTAGTGACCCGTTTTGTAGAGTATACACCTAGCAACTTCTAATTGTAATCGTAAATAAATAAAAATACTTATAGTTTAAATAAATAAAGATATGCAAATTGTTCTTTTTATAAATACTATGTAGATCTTTTAAAATATTTATTGCCACTACTGTATTGAACCAAATCCACAATTGTTGTTGTCCTAGCTATTTCACAGTTTTACAGTCATTGTGCATTATTCTTATTTTTCACTATTTTCAAATGTCATAGTATCGACTTATAATTTATTATAATTATTATTATATTAATTATTAATTATTATAATCATATTAATTTAATTATTGAATTTATATTAATTATACATTTAATATGTCACATTTCTTTAACCATGTTTTAATTGTTATTAGAATTAATTTAACAGACTTACAATTATTATAAATTCGAACATGATGAAGAATTCATCATTCTTTCTTTCTTCCACTTTTAGGAAGAAAAATGCAGATAAATAGTAAGGAATTTAGTGAGGTGTTGAAAAATGTCTCAGACCATTTTATATCACCCAATATTTTGCATTCCTTTCTATTCATTTAGTTAAGAAGGGTTAATTTTTGTAAGTTTATATTAGCACAAATTTTATTTAACTTTTCGTGTTTAAAAAGGAGTTAAGTATGTAATAATAAGAATATTATTTTATTATATTATTAAATACAATTTCTCATTATTTATTATTATATATAATTTATTATAAAATATATTAAAAGTATCTATTAAAGAAATTTAGCAAATTTATTAAACAAATTCTCGGAGTATTCACATTTTAACAGAAAAAATATGTATCTTTTTTGCATGAACTGTTAACTATTATTAATAGTTAATTATTATTAATAGTTAATTAACTATTCTCTTCTAGAGAATATTATTTATTCTATTAACTATTTTTGTGGGCAATCCTTAATTGGAACACAACTTCCGCTTGCATCACGTGCATAGTTTTCATTACAATAGCACCCATCAGGACATCTAATGTGTCGAATAAGGCATGGTTCTCCAAGAGTGGCACATTCAGTTTGGCAACTTCCTCCACATGACGTATAAAATTCATTAGCTGGACAATCTTTGGGAATAGCTAAATGAAATTATAAGAAATACAAATTGTTTAATTATTTAATTTATTTAATTATATTTAAATTTATGTATTGTATTGTATTATTATATATATTATATTTATTAATTATATTTATGGTTTAAATGATTAAATATTATTTACATAGTTTGGAACAAAGTAATTCAATATCAATATTAAATAAATCATATTTTTAAAATTGGTTTGTTAAATATATTTAATATGCACCGATATTCCGACTATAATCTATAGTTCTAGTTTTTATAATTCAAAAAAATCGAACAAAACTAATATAATCAGAGTAAATAAATATTTAAGAGTATTGTATATATATTCCCCAACTTTCTAAACAAATCTCAGCACCTAATATCTATATTTTAGATATTATATACTTGGTATATACTATATCTTGTATAATGACTCTAATACTAATACTAAATCAAACACTGAAATAATGGAGACACACATTGTACTTCATCAAAGCAAATCTTAAGGAGATAGATCCAATATATGCAAGGAACACCAAAACACAAGTTAAAGAGGCGTATAGCTGGACATAAACACAGCGTTATGCCTAAATATATTATTGACTCCGAAAGATCACTAACTTCACATTATTTTATATCGAAGCTCGAGCCAAAGCTGGATTTGGAAAATATAAAAGTGTTGCACCAAGAAAACATCCAACAAAATTGTTTTCTCTTAGAAATGCTTTATATTTGACAGACTTCTAGTGACATAAGACTTAGCTATAATGCGGATATGTAGGTAGAACTGTGCTCAAGTGTTTAAAAATACTTGGAATAAAACGAGAATTGGATAGGTATATAATTCGTGTACATACTATATAATTATTTTTTTGAACAATTATTTCTATGTAATTATTAGATATAATTATTAATGCCTCTACGAACAGAATAGAATCGAAATTTAACAATTGAAAATAAAATTATAATTAATTAATTAATTCAATTATTCTACAGCTGGTTTATGATTTCGTTCTAATATAAACACAGCAAGTAAAATTGTTAATAAAAACTTTCATAGCAAAAGTAACAAAACTCCAGAAATAAATGAGAACATAGAAAATTAAGTACAGCTTTGGATCAGTTGGTTAAGGAGCGCTGACTCTGAGTTTCAAATTTGACAGGACATAAGTTCGATTTCTGGTACTTGCAGTCTCAAAAAATTATTTACGAATAATTGAATACAAGAATTATTTCCAAGACCACTGATGATGGATATTTGGCAATACTCGACACAGCTGTATGGTCAGCCAAAAATTCAATTAATTAAAATAATATAAAAAAAAAATTTTTTTGTTGTTGTAGTTCACTACTTTTCGAAAAAAACCTCATTATTATTTTGATTTAATTTAATTTATTTTAATTTTATTATAATTATTTCTATAGCAACATATTGAATTTGTTGCTATATTAAAAATATTTCTATTATATCAGTACTCTAAAGAGGACTATAGACTATAGTCGAAATATCGGTGCAAATGAAATATATGTTTTTTAAATTCATTTAAAAAATTGTGTATTATTTAACATTGACCAATTAGACCGTTCAAAATTCTATTAATTATATTAATTTATTTGGAATTAATTATTCATAAAATCACTTCAAAAACCACTCACGCTGAAAACCGGCAGCTTCACATGACGTAAAAGCTAATGTCACAAATAAAAAACAACAAAGCACCAATAAACGTGAATTCAACATTTTTCACAAATTAAAACTTTAATCAACAGCAATTATATAGAATAAATATTTTATTTAAAATATGATGTTTCAACTTCAACCGACAAATATTTACTGAATGAGACTGGTTTAAAATGAACGCTTTTATACTTAAAAAAATATTAAGAAGAGCTAAGCAGAGCTAAGAAGAGCTAAGATTGTCATTGAAGAGCATAAATCAATATAAAGAACGATACTTTTTATCAAGTTTGAGAAAAATATACTTTTATAATTTTATTTTATTTGGTTTTTAGAATATATTAATTATAGAAATTTATTTTTTTTTAATCAACAAATTGTTTCTGAGTTCTTTCTGTGCTGAAATTTTATATAAAAGATGAAAAGACTCAACAAAATGCAGACATCTGTATGCAATCTGGTCACTTTCCAATAAAATGAAATCCAATATTCTCATTGAGATGCCCCGTAGAAATATCAGTTTTATGTTAGGTTTACTTACAGGTCACTGCAAACTAGGAAACTATGCTAGAAGATTGAATCTCTCTTGCAATCATACTTGTCGCAGCTGTGGGGAAGTTGCTACAAGCACCTCTCATCTACTTTGTCCTTGCACTATTGCACTAAATACTTTAGAAGGATCTTATCCAACTATAAGACTTCCCACTAAACAACATTCTTAGCTTCGCCAAAGTTTCCAGGTGCTTTTAAATCCTGAGTCTCTTCATTATATGGGAACACAATTTGCCAATAGACCAAAATCCAAACCAGTGTAGAAACAAGATTAAGTTAAGAAAATAAATGACTTAAGCATAAGTCACTTAATGTCTAGACTGGGAAGACTGGCAAGACTTTTACAATATTTTAAAGTTCGAATGCAAAAGCATAGTATTTTCAAAATACCTTGTGATCAATAAAGAACTTATTCGTTCTTTTTTTGAATTCCCGCGCTTATCCAATAGGTAAATTTTTTTTATTTTCACTCTGGCAACACTATTATACACATTCTGTCGAAGTTTAACACATATCGTACGATTAGTTTTTGTTTGGCGTCTATGCAAAGAAGTCGAAAAACTTTCGTGTGGCGATTTTTTGCTGAATTTCATTTAAAAAAAGCGTCGTTATGATGTGGCCAAAGAAATGATTTCCAACGCAGATAGTGACCCCACATTCATCGAACGCATCATAACTGGTGATGAGACATCGGTCTATGAATTTGACATGCCCATCAAACAACAATTAACCGAATGGTGCTTCGAAGGTGAGCCGAAACCGAAAAGAGAACGCCAAAAACTTGTATGGAAAATTGGATCAAGCGTTGGCATGCATGTATGGTATTGCCGCAGGAGGAGAGTACTTTGTAGGCCATAATAAAGAAAATTATTAAAAAATTTTTTTAACTTCTCGTTCTTTTTGGATCAAATGGTATGTCTAAAAGCAAATATTTGTGTATATTAGTAATTGCAAACATTTTGCTAAATTCTACCCACTGTAGGCAGAGAGTAAGTAAATTTTAAGTTTTTATTGAAGAGAATTCGATTACCTCAAGAAGAGAGAACATAACATAATTTATAAAAAAAATTACAATTTTATAAAAGATCAGAAGGCTTGCATTTAATAAAACTCAAACTAAATATCATTCAAGAATTTAACTTAATATGTCGATAACTGAAAAAAGATTAGGATAATTGTTAAGAGAACATGAGCCATTAGAAAATCTTAATGTTACGTTTCTAATTAAGATTATTAGTAAGATGTAAGTTAACTCTTCGTAATATCTATCCTCCTTAATGGTATATCATTTTATCACTAAGGAACTAAAAACATATATGAACAAAAAACCAGAAAACAATAAGCCACATATGTTTTAAAAGTCAATAAAATAATCGAGATAAATCGAAAGAACGTTGAGTTATTTTGCGAAGAATTTTTTTTTTCATAAAAATAAGAACTTAATATGATACAGTTAATTAATATATTTATATAGCTGTGGTATATGCGTGCAATAAGTGTTTATGAATAAACAACAAAAAATTAATAAAACTGGAAAATTAAATAATGTAAATTAAGTGTACATTGACTTTGAGTGTTTATACATGAGTTTAAACACAGTTCAAAGTTGACAGACTTTATTTATACATGGACAATTAAACCAACAGTTTTTTCCATAGACCTCCGATGATGATGTATGGTGGTGGTTTTCGAATTTGGTGATCTTGGGCTAAAAGTTTGAAATTTATATTTATATATAGTTTTTTCGACGTGAATTAATCATTGATCAACTTTCAATACATCGATCAACATATGTCAATCAACTTCGACATTTGGTGATGAAACACCATAACCAACGACTGCAAAAACCTGGTTCAATGAGTTTACGAGTCGCCGTCATTATCTCTACGACAAATTTCGTGAAGGTCATTAAATAACGGCTGTTATACCAGAAAACATCGACACATATTACATACCGAGAGATATTGTCATCCTTGAGCATTAGTAGTGCAAGCATATATTCAATTTTACATATATATTTAACTGTCAATATGATTTGTTCCCGTTGGGTTTCCCATAATTTGACAAACACTCAAAAGAAGACATATGTTGATTGGTGCAATGTGAAGGTAATGCTGAAAAAATAAGACCAAGGTAACTCAAAACAGATCTACGACATCGTGACAGATGTCGAATCATAAATCTGTCCTTATCAACTGGAAACAAAACACAAATTTACTGTTTGAGTATTCCAAAGTGAGTAGAACTTGTCCCGTCCAGAACCCGAAAACCCGTCCAGCAAATGCTTGCATATTTTTTTACATATCGCATCTGTACTACTTCAACAACGTAGAACGGTTAATTCTAAGTGGTACACAATCATTTGTTCGCCGAAAGTACTCGAAGAACTGAAGAACTCCACCAGATAGTGTGAGTTCCCACTTTTCAGGTCCAACAAAAGTCTTTTTCAGTTTTTTAATCCGAACTCAAAACTTAAAGGCAGGTAATCACGTTGAAAATTCTGGAAACTCTGCATACAAACCCCTATTGTTGAAATCCAAAGCTGACTGCTTACTTTTAGAAAGAATTTAACAATGTCATTAATAATCTTTTGCTAAAAAGTCAGAGTTGGTCCTATATCCTAAAAATTTGGTTTTAGTTAAATTGTATTTATCGGCATAATCATTACCATCATGACTTCTTTATCCTGATTTGCATTCAGTCACACAAACCTTTGTGGTCCTATATTCATTTTATATTTTTTCACTAAATTTTTGAAATTGTTATTCTGAAATAAACTGTTTAATAAGATTTATACTTCGCAATTTATATTTCCTCACAATTTAACCACCATTTCTCATAATGTATTTAATATTCATTATTTATCATTATTTCTTTTTTTTGAAGGCAATCTTATTTTTAGCGATATTTTCATATTTTTTTATTTCTTTCTCTATTAACTATTTTAAGGGCACTTTTCAATCAGAATACAACGTCCGGTTGAATCACGTGCAAATCCTGGGACACAGTAGCAGGCATCATTACATCTTATATTAATAATGGGGCATGGTTGACCAAGTGTGGCGCATGTAGTTTGACAAGCTGATCCGCAAGCATAAAATTCATTTTCTGGACAATCTAACGGAGCAGCTAAAGTATATTTACAGAAATTGTTATTATTAATGGAATACAAAAAACAAAAATATAAAATTATTTTACTATATTAATTCTTAACTTTACTTACGTCTAAAAACACCAGCTCCAGACGCCAAATAAGATAAAGTCACTAACAAACAACAACAAAGCATCAGTGATGATAAAAACGTCATTTTAATGCAGATTTCTCTAAGTATACGTAAAAGTCTATGAAAAACTCAATCTAAAACAATTAAATGTTATTTGAAATGTTTTTGTTTAAAATATTTACTTCTAACAAATGTTGACAAATGTTTACTAAGGTTAACAATTGCAAAGCAAATACTTTTATACTCCATTCAGAATATCTAATGAGTTCGATAAGTGACTGAAAATAGACACTACTATCAACTCATAGTGTAGTTTATTTAATATATGCACTACCGACATTCTAATTGATATTTTTATCGACATAGGTTATTTATGAATTCATTAGCTAATCTTTTTATACCCTTTCTTCAAAATACTATTCACATTATAGGGTATATTAAGTTTTTGAAGAGGTTTGTAAAGCAGTTAAAATGACAATATATATCATGTCGATGTTGATATCATAGTTCCAATGCTAACCTTGTACAGTTAAGAAAGTTTTGGAGAAGCACAAATATTAGACAAAGAAAAAAATAGGCGCCGCTTACCATATATGAAATCAGTAAAGCTATAACTACATGTGTTTGTAAACCGGTTTTGTAGCCAAGAGCAATCAATATAGTACACTCGACTTAAGTAGAGCTAAGAGCAAAAACACATCGCAAGTTGTGGAGTGGCAGTAAATATCTCATGTTGCTGTAAGATTGAAAAGTGAGAAAGTTCAGAGAGAGTACACATGGTTTTACTTTGTTGCAGAAGTATTATTCCGAATTTGTGTTTTCACGTTTTTGTTTTGTGACTAAGTAAGTCAGATCATGCGATTCGTCACTGAATGATATTTTCTTTGGAAGGTTTATAAAAATGGACATGAGGACAATCGTCAAAATCTCGACGCCTTGAAAACAAACATCCATCAAGTCATAGTCAAGCTATTGCTGACTAGTTGAGACTTTTTTAAATGGCTACTTTCTTCAGAGAGATCCAGTACTTCGTAAATAAAACTTCTTAATATCTGTTGTTATGTAAAGTACTTTTTAAATATTAATTGCCTGGCAACTCTGGCCTGTCATTATTCTATATTCCTTTTGTAATTATTATTCATTATTCATTTTTAGTATAGTTAATAAAGCGAAGTAAAGAACATGTTAAAAATACATCGGACCGTGTTTCACTTTTGCTAAAAATATATAATAGGTTATGGGCCCAGCACGCTTCCACTGCGAAGTAGAAGCACGTGCACATAAAAAGTAGATTTAATACGTGTATAAAAATGTCGGGAACGGTGATTCGAGTTGAACCGCTTAACGCGGAAAACTACGATACATGGAAATTACAAATGAAAGCTATTCTCATAAAAAACGATTTATGGTCATATGTCGAAGGTACTGCGTCGTGTCCAACGGGCGAAGGGGCTGCAAAATGGATCAGCTTTGATCAGAAAGCGTGTGCTGATATAATGTTATCAGTAAGTGCATCAGAATTAAGATTAATTGCAGAATGCACAAATTCAAACGAAATGTGGATGAAACTACAAGCCACATATTCATCAAAAGGGCCTGCGCGCAAGGCGACGTTGCTGAAAAAGGTTGCACTTTCGCGCATGAAGGAGGGTGAAAAGGTTAGAGAGGACCTCAACGATTTTTTTGAAGCCGTGGCAAAATTAAAGGAAATTGACGTCACCATCGGGGATGAGCTTCTGGCCATACTGCTCCTATATAGCCTGCCCGACTCTTTTAATACTTTCAGGTGCGCGTTAGAAACGCGCGACGAGCTGCCAAAGCCAGACATACTTCGAGTGAAAATATTAGAAGAAGCTGAATCGCAAAGGACAAAAGAAGACAGACATAGTGATGAAAACTCTCTATACATAAATCGAAATAAAAGCCGAAACGCAAAACAAAACAAACGATACAGTGATTCTAAACGAAACAAACAATGTTTTAATTGTGGCAAAATCGGACATTTTGCACGTGGATGTAAAAATAAAGCAAAAGCTGAAAATAACACGCAATTGAAAAATTCGGAAAAATCTGTAAACAATAATTTTAGCTATCATGTTGAAGATGCATTTATTAGCTCAATAAAAGAAAATTATTGGTGCCTAGATAGTGGATGTACTGCCCATTTAAGTGCAAACCGTGAATATTTTACAGACTTTCAAAAATCGAATAAAGTGCTTAACTTAGCAAACGACAACACAACAAATATAAACGGCGTCGGTAAAATGAAAATAACTGTAGACGTATACGGTCGTGATAATAATATTGATCTTAAAGAAGTTCTATATGTCGAGGACTTGCGTACAAGTCTACTTTCTGTATCAAAAATAGTAGACAGCGGATATGAAGTGCATTTTCGCCCTTCAGATGCAATCGTATTGGACAAATATCAGAAGGTTATAACTCGAGCGAAAAGATGTGGAAATCTTTTTATTGTTGAAAATAAAAATCATTTTGCACAAGTTGTTGAAGAAAAATGTGACATTGAAAAGTGGCACCAGAAAATGGGCCACATAAATGAAAACGATCTTAAAAAATTGGCTAGTAATAACCTAGTACACGGATTAAAATTAAATCCTAAACAAAAACTTCCGACTTGCGAAATTTGTATTAGTGAAAAACAAATACAAAAACCATTTCCTAAGAGTAAAGAAACTAGAACAAGTGATTTATTAGAGATCGTGCATAGTGATGTGTGCGGACCAATGAGAACAGCATCAAATTCGGATGCAAGATATTTCGTAACATTTATTGATGACAAATCACGCTATTGTCAAGTATATTTTATAAAACAAAAATCCGATGTATTAAATGTATTTAAGCAATACAAAAGAGCAGTAGAAACATTTACGGGTAAACGAATTAAGGCTTTACAATCAGACAATGGTAGAGAATACGTTAATTCTGAATTTAATTTATTCTTGAGGAAATTTGGTATACAAAGACGCTTAACTGCTCCATATACGCCGGAGCAAAATGGTATTGCTGAACGTAAAAACAGAATTCTAGTTGAAATGGCCCGTTGCATGATGAAACAAGCTGAAGTTCCGCCAAATTTTTGGGCAGAGGCCATAAATACAGCGTGCTATATTCGGAATAGGTGTCCTACAAAAGCATTGAACGGTGTAGTACCGCACAAGTTGTGGACTGGTAAAATGCCAACTATTGTACATTTTCAAGTATTTGGCTCTAAAGCATATGTCCTAAAAAAGGATAAGACTAGAGATAAATTCGATTCTAAGTCAGAACCTTACATGTTTGTTGGATATTCAAACGAAGCGAAAGCCTATCGGCTGTGGTCACCTACAAAACGAAATATAACAATAAGCCGTGATGTCGTGTTCGTAAACAAAAATATCTATCATAATAAATACGAAAACATTTATATTAACAATGAAAACGACTGCCAAACAAATGATTATATCGATATTGCGTTCGAAAATTGTGAAAATCAGAAACTGTCGGTCAATCCGAAAATTGTAGAAAATACAGATACGCGAGAAGAAAACTCCATTCGTAGGAGAGGTCGTCCGAGACTTATTCGCACAAATTCACGCGGTAGGCCTCGAAAAGAATATTACACGTCAAATCGGAATGGTGAAGAATCATCCAACGAAGACGAAAATACAAGTTCAGTAAGAAAAATTGCTGATAAAAACCATTCAGATGATGAACCTGACAACAACGTTTTTGAAGATTGTGAAATGGCGTTTCTCACTACATATCAAACTCCAGTAACGATTTTGGAGGCACTTGAAAGCGATGAAACAAATTCCTGGTCAAAAGCGCTAGAAGACGAAATAGTGGCACAACTAAAGAATAAAACATGGGAAGTGGTCGAAAGACCGAAATCACGAAAAGTTATTGGGAATAGATTCGTGCTTCGAACTAAAGATGACGGAAAACAGAAAGTACGATTAGTAGCGAAGGGTTTTGCACAACGACCAGGTGAAGACTTTCATGATACGTTTTCTCCAGTCGCTCGTTCAACATCTATAAGACTACTTGCGGCACTGGCAGCAAAAATGGATTTGGAGATCCATCAGATGGATGTCATTACAGCATACCTAAATGGAGAGCTCGAAGAGAGTGTCTTCATGGAAATTCCCGATTATCTTATACCATTCCTGAACAAAGTTGTTTCATCAAAACCAGTGGGAAAAAAACTTCAATAATATTGTGTGGAAAAGTTAAAGAAACAGCGCAGCATTGGTTAAAGGCGATTAAATCAAGTAAGTCACCTGTA